GGCGATCGCCGCCGCCCTCCCCTTCTTCCTGCCCGAGGCGGCCGGCGCCTTCTGCGCCGCCCCGGCCCCGTGCTTTCTGCTGCGGCCGACCATCGGGCTGGAGCCCCGCCTGACTGCGAAGTGCGGCAGCCCGTTGGACGGCTACCCGGGCGTGCCGATGGCGGACTTCGACCCGGAGGGAGGAGAGTGGGCCGTCTTCCCCCCCGAGAAGGCGGAGTGCCTCGTCGAGTGGCAGGCGGAGGCGGCGGCGGTGTGGCGACGCCGCCTCCGCATGCCACTCGACGAGGCACTCCGCCTTCTCGGGGGGGAAGACGGCCCACTCTCCTCCCTCCGGGTCGAAGTCCGCCATCGGCACGCCCGGGTAGCCGTCCAACGGGCTGCCGCACTTCGCAGCCAGGCGGGGCTCCAGCCCGATGGTCGGCCGCAGCAGAAAGCACGGGGCCGGGGCGGCGCAGAAGGCGCCGGCCGCCTCGGGCAGGAAGAAGGGGAGGGCGGCGGCGATCGCATGGATGGCGGTCACGACCTTTGCGTCGGTGGACGTCTGTCCGGACCTCACCAGCGGCTCGACGCCGCGGTGCGTTGCGCTGCCGAAGAGGAGGGCCTGCAGGCGGTCCGAGTTGGAGGCAAACGCGTTCCAGACCAGCTGGTCGACCAGGTTCGTGAAGCGCGTCTGGAAGGAGAAGGCGTAGCCGTCGGTGATGGCGGGGACGAGGCCCGCCATGGCGCCTGTTCACGGCAGCACGCGTGAAGCGACGCCGTTCACAGCAGTCGGGGACGAGGCTCGATCGGTGTGGCGCCGATGATCATGATGTGGTTGCGATCCGCTTGGAAGAACGGAGCCTCGTGGGAAGTAGCCGCTTCACGGCTCGGCGCCCCCAGCGCCCCCACCCGCGCTAGCACCACGTCAAACCACGGCGTGTCCCACCGGCCTCCGCACTCCGCCATGCAGACCGCCTGCGCCGTGGCGTTGCACTCCACCACTGCTGCGCAGCAATCCGCGGCACAGGGCGCCGACCCGCCGAGCGCCTGCCGCACGCCCCCCTCCCTCGGCCCCAGCAAAGAGAGGAGAGTCGCCGCCGCCTCCGCCCCCATCCCGGCCGCCAGCTTCCGACCCGCGGGCACCGACTGACTGAAGTGCATCCCGCCGAGCTCGCGCGTCGCACCGCACCTAGTCTCGGACAGCCTCGCGTGATCTCGCGAGCAGACCCGCCCGGCTCGCGCGCCACGCGGCACCGCTCGGCGATGGCCGCCGCGGAGAGGCCGCCGGGCGCCGGGTTGACGGCGCCCGTGAGCGGGACGTTGGCCATCAACGTGTTTGGCAGTATCACGAAGGGGGCGTCGGAGTAGCTGACCTCGCTCCCCTGCACCGTGAGGGTGAGGTGCGGCCAGAGGGCATCGACGAAGTCGCGGATGGCGGCGCAGACGGCGGCGGAGCCGCTCGGGAACCTATTGTTGTCAGGTCAGTCTCAGGACCTGGCACTACTCCTCCTGACAGGAGGTGCAGCAACGCAAGTTCGCACTCGGAGTGCGACATGGTGCGGACGATGGTCTGGAAGTGCTTGCCACGGACGGTCATGTTGTCGTTCAGCCGGAGGTTGTCTTCGGGGTAGAGCTGGTGGATGACCTACGAGTTGACGGACACAAGGTGACAGCGAGTGGCGTCGTGAAGCTGTCGTCGGGGCGGAGAGCTTCGGTGGATGACCGTCGTGGGCCGGATGCGGCTGTTGAGAAGCTTGTTCTTCCAGACCGCCACGCCGGCATCGTGCACCGCCGACGTCTCGCCAAACGAGTGGAACATGATCTCCTCGATCGACTGGCCGTACCCGAGCAGCAGCGTGCCGATGAGGCCGAGCGCGACGTTCAGCTTGCCTGTTCACAGGCAGCGACACGCGCCTCGTGGGAAGAGACGCCCTCCATAGAGCGGTGACGTTGAGCCTCTGCCGTTACACAACCGGACCCCGGCTAATCTCGGCCGACCTCGACTACATCTCGGCTAGATCTCGCGGCTGCAGCGCGCCGTCGAAGAAGCGGATCTCGTCCAGCTCGCCGGCCGTGTCCACCGTGGCCATGTTTGCAATCACGGCGTCCGCCTCGGCGACGTAGTCATAGCTTGGGCCGGGCGCGAGAGCCATGTCCGGCATGGTGGTCATGGTGAGGGTGGCGGAGGTGGCGAAGCGCAGGAAGGGCGCGACGTGGTCCATCTCGTAGGTCATCCCCTTGCCGTCGTACTCGGGGATCGGCCGCCTGAGGAGGAATGAAGGGGCTGCCGTGAGTCGGCTCGTGAGTCATGGTGAGGAGCGGTGAACGCTCGTTGAATGTCTCGTCACGTGAGTCGAGTGTGCTCGAGAGACGTTGTGTGTTTGTGGGCGCAAGGGCCGACGAGAGCGTACGAGAGGGGTGCGGAACAGAGTGCGAGTTCATTCGGGTCAGCGTGTTGTGTGAGCGCGCGGCAGGCAGGTGTACAACCGCAGCGTGCAAGAGGTGGACGAGGAGCAGAGCGCCAGTCGTGCGGCGGCGGCTTGCGCACCGGTGTGCATCTAGGGACCCGCCAGCAGGTGTTGCCCCCCCCGGACGGCGGCGGAGGCGGAGACGGCGACGGAGGCGGGGGCGGTGGGGGCGGCGGAGGCGGCGGCGGCGGCGGTGGGGGCGGGGGCGGCGGAGGCTCTCCCGACGACAGTTCGCACTGCCACCCGGCGGTGTAGTGTTGCGTCCCGCCGGCGCCGTTTGACACGTAGAGGGGGCACGCGGTCAGGCACTGGGCGTGCCATTCGTGGTTCCTATGATTCCGCTGATCACAATGTGAGGCTAATCCTCTTGATCCCGCCGTGATGGAGACCTCATCTCGTTGCCGGCCGAATGTGAGGCTAATCCATCTCCGCGATTCGAACGATCTAGTCATGCACCGGAAGCACTCCAGCCCTTCGGCGCACTCGCCCTCGCCGAAGCACTCGCTCCATTCAGCGAGGGCGAGCGCGGGTGGGGCGGGCGGGGCCAACGTCGAGCAAGTGACTCCCCAAGTGCAAGCGCCAGCCGCGTCCAGGTCGGCGTGGCAGTGGTCCGGTGTGCACCAGGACCGGCCGAGGAGGTCGCAGCCGCACTGGGGATGGGCGCACACCGAGCAAACGCCCGCGCCGTCGGGAGACGGCGAGGGAAGCGGGGCGGGGGGAGGCGCCGGCAGCGGCGACGGCGACAGCGGCGGCGACGGCGGCAGCAGTAAGCATTGCGGGCAATTCCCGCACTTGATCCAGTTGCACTTCTTCTCCCACGGCCTACGGGGGAAAGAGGCGGCGGTGGGGAGGCGGGCGGGCGGGTTTGTGGCAAGGGGCAGGTAAGGCGGCGCGCTTGTCGTTCCCCGCGCACCACGACTTGCACTCGAGCGCGGGCGGCGACGGTGGCAGCGGCGGCGACGGCAGCTGCTGCATGTACATCCTGTATCTGCACTCACGGTAAGACGCCGCGGTTGTTTTCTTTTGCGGCTGTAAGGACGCAAGCGGAGGCGGCGGTCGAGCGGGCGGGCGTGAGGACCGGGCGAGGCGACGGGCGGCGGGCGAGGCGCCAGGCGGGACGGCTGCTGGCGCAAGTGCGCATGGGGGAGACGGCGGCGCGGGTGGCGAGCGCACGCGCAGATGGGGGGATCGGGAGGGGGGCGGAGTCGATTGCGGCTTTGGGGAGGGTCCGGGGAGGGCGGGGTGGGTCGGGACGGGGTGGGGCTTTGGGGAGGGGTCCGGGGTGGGGTGGGGTGGGGCGGGTGTCGGAGGAGGGGATTTCGGACGCCGGCTCTTGTGGCGAGGACGATGGCTTCTAAGGAAGCCGTCGTCTGCGCCTTGTCTGTCGTGTGAATCGTGCGTGTGCGAGAGCCTTTTGTTGTGAAAAAGGGCGCATTTGGGCGACACCGACTCGCGTTCTTAGAGAGAGATTTAGAGAGATTACGTGTGAGTGTTAGAGTTGTTTCGTTCTTATGCTTTAGACACTTGCAGGCATCGATCGTCGACGGACGGCGCCAGCCACCGGAACGCCCTCCTCGCGCCGACCGAACGACACGCCGGACGCAGCACCTGTCTGCGCGCCGGCGGTGGCTCGCACGCGTGCTCCGCGAACTCGCTCGATGTATCGGCCGTGTGTCGACCTGCTGAGCGTGCTGTTTTGCCTTTCGGTCTATCATGTTGCGAAGGGGGTATTGACGAGCTCGGTAGAGAGATTGGCTGATCTCCTGAGCGAGATTGCGATCTCGCTATCTCGCTATAGTGCCACGCGGCGGCACAAGTCGAGCCGTGAGCACGCGGTGTGAACGAGCTCGGCAGAGAGATTGTCTCATCTTCTGAGCGAGACTGTGATCTCGCTATAGTGCCACGCGGCGGCACAAGTCGAGCCGTGAACACGCAAGTGTGAACGTACGAGCTCGGTAGAGAGATTGGCTCGTCTCCCGAGTCTGCGGCCCCCGGTTGGGACGAGTGCGAGTGTTGTGTCGAGTGCGCGACGCGGGCGAACCGCTCAGAAAGAAAGAAAACACAATCCCCAACGGAGGGATGGGAGGACGGCACGCCGCCACCACACAGGGATTTTAATGACCGCTCAAGAAATAGAGCAGACATCTCCAGGAGAGATGGGCGACGCACGAACAATATGGCCCGACGCGCGCGGGGTACAGGCACGTGGTTGGAGAAATAACGCTGGGGGAGAGAGGGGGGGAGAGAGGAGAGGAGGAGAGGGGAGAGGATGAGAAGAGGAGAGGAGAGGAGAGGAGAGAGGAGGAGAGAGGAGAGAGGAGGAGGGGGAGAGGAGAGAAGAGGGGAGGGGGTGAGAGGGAGGGAGGGAGGGAGGGAGAGAGAGGGTGGAGCGAGCAGAGAGAGAGGAGAGCCTTTGAGCCTTTGGCACCAGCCAGGCAGTTGATTTGGCCCTGGCACCAGCCTTGGCAGTTGAGTTGGCCTTGGCACCAGCCTTGGCGGGCGGGCACGCGGGACATGCACAGGCGCCAAGGGGCGCGGCGCCGACAATCACGGCGGTGATTGCGGCGCAGGTGGGGGGACGGGAAGTCCGTCGGCGTTGCCGGGGGCCCAAGGAAGCGCGAGGGAAAAATTCCGCCGCTGAGGGCGCTCGTGCGGCAATAGCCGGGTGGAGGGGGGAGCGTGCCGGACGGGGCGTCGTCGCGCCGTCCGATGGTCTGCTGCCCCGCGCAGCAACCGTCGGGCGACGACCCGGGGGCCAAAAACCCGGCGACGACGGCGCTTGGGGCGTGACCTCCTGCCTCCAACCTCCTTCCTTTTTGAGCAGGTGTGACGCCGCGCGAGCGACGCTCCGAGATCGCCCGAGATAGCGCGGCGCGGCCCCGAGATCGCCCGAGATAGCGCGAGATCGACCGAGATCGCGCGGCGCGGCCCGAGGCGAGGTGGATGGGTTGGGAGCAAGGGGGCGAAAGTGTTCAGTGCGGTAGATGGTAAGCTCGAGGCGCGTGAGCCGGACTTGTGAGCCGGACCACCCCCTCTTGTTCCCTGCGTTGTTGAGCCAGGACTCAACATACTCGGGCTGTCCATCCCAAACTGTCACTCCCCTTTCTCCCGGCCGAGGTGGGGCGCGCGCGGGGGCGGCGGGTGTGCGGGATGTCTGTGGGCCCGAGAGCGATATGCCATGTCCTTGCGTTTGTTTTTCATCACATCGAAGGCTAAGCTCAGAAAAAACGCACTGCAGCCTCGGGCCGATAGTCGGACCACAGCAGCTTGGGTTCCTCGAGAGAAAGCGGGCAATGCGGCCCCTTGAGCCTCGCGCTCTGCCCTCCACGGTGCTCGCGCCCGATGGGTCGGTGCGGTATTTTGCGTACGGGTCGAACTTGGGCCGTCAAAAGGTGCTGTCGCGCGGCGCAGCCTCAATAATCTCGACGGAGCGGGCGAACGTGGCGGGATGGCGGCTCGCCTTCACGTTTGCGTTGAACCCGCCGCTGGAGCCTTCATTTGCCTCGATCGAGCCCGCCCCGGCCGAGACGGTTTGCGAGGGCGTGCTCCACACCCTCACCCCCAGCGCATACGAGGAGTTGTGGCGCTCCGAGGGCGGCGGCGGTTCGAGACCCGACTACGATGAGATTGTCGTGCTCGCAAAGCCGTGGAGTGGCAGCGAGCCGGTTAGGGCCATCACGCTGCGGGCTGCGCAGAGCCGGCGCCTCAGCCACGATGTCCCGCCATCGCAGAGATACTTGAGCATGGTTGTCGCCGGCGCGCACGAGGCAGGGTTGTCGCCCGCCTACATCGCGCGCCTCGAGGCCATCTCGGCCGCCGCGCCGTCGGGTTTCCTGGCCGCCGTGGCGGAGGCGCACGGCCTCCTCCTCGTCCTGCTCTACCTGCTCGGCTTGCAGCGCCTCCTCTCGCCCCTCCGCGCCATCTGCTTCCTCCTCCACCGCCACGTGCGGCCCCGTCTACGCGACATCGCGACCGGCCTGCTCCTCCTGCCGACGGCGGCCATCGGCGCCGCCACCCGCCCCGCGCTGCGCTTGCTTGGGCGGGAGCGGTGGCTGAGCTACGCTCGCTACGGACAGCTGCCACCGACGCCCGCGACGACGCTGGCCTCTGCGCGCTGCGTGAGTGAGTACCACTACCAGAGTCGTTAGAGAGCTCCTCGTGCGTCGCAGCGGGGGAGCGGGCGCGTCGGCGATGGGGCTTCTCTCGCCGGTAATCGAGAAGCAAAATAAAACCATCACTGAGGTTTCCTACCTAGAGTGCGGTAGTGGCGACTGGCGTGATGGCAAACCCGACCCTCCCCTCCACATCCATGTGGCGCGCCGCTGATCGTGCGCGATGGTGCCGCGTGCCGGGAACCCTATTCCGGAGCGATTTCCCCTAGGGTTAGCGCCGAAAAAGCCGGGGCCTTTAGCTCCGGCTAGGGCTATTGGGCCTTCGAAGCCGACCACGAGGAAGGGCCGACTTAGGGTTAGTATAGCGGGCCGTGTGTGTCTCGCGCCTTGCGGGGGGGGAGCGGAAAGGAGGAACCTCTTCCCAAGAGCACCACTCTTGGAGCGCCGCCACTACCACCCAGAGCGCTGCAAGCAGCGCCGGGCAATGACGGCTTACCGCCCACCCAGCCCCCCCTCGGCACACCCCGGCAGCCAATGTGTGACGGCTCGAACCCGCTAAGCCATCCCGCAAGCGGGATAGCCCGCCACTCGAACCCGCAAGCGGGCGTACGAACCGCGAGCGGCTCGCACTCGTGACACGCAGGCGTCCGACAGACGGCGCCGGGGCTAGGCGACCGAAGAGGAACTACGGCAAGAACCGCACACCACCCGCTGACGAGCGCTCGCGGAACTGGTCCGCGGCGCCCGCCAGGGGCGTGCGCGAGACAGGGCTCGAAGCCCTTTTCTGTGAGCAGGGATTCCCTCCCGGCGGGGGTTGTGGCGGAGAGCCGGCATGGGAATCGCCGGCCCCCACCCAGGGGGTGCCCCTGCCAGGCGCCGCAAGCGGCGCCCGACAGGGGCGGGCGCCCCCACCCCGAGGGGTGGGGGCGGGGGCGGGGCCCAAAGTGATTCGGCCTATCGCCTCGGCAAGGTCCTCGGTGCGATTCTCCACGGTGTCGTCGAGCGAAAATGCGGTAGCCGCGGAGGTGATGACGTCGACATCGGTGGAATCGGCTGGGTCAACGTCAATGTCGCTCTTTCGCCGGATCCCCTTGTTGTCTCCGATGTGTCGCGCCTGCGCGCTCGGCGTGTATGAAATCCATATCACCCCCTGCTCCACGATGGGGGCTTTAGGCGACGAGGGCGGGGCGCTAGGCGGCGGTTTGTTTTCGGGGGAGTCGGGTGGGTCATCGGCGTAGCTAGAGGCCCCATCACCGATGTCGTCGAGTGGGATGGTTGTACCTCCTCCGTTAATAACCACGTCGTCGCCCACGGTGCTGCTCTCCCCGTCGTCTGCGTCTGTTGGGACAGACTCGTCTTGCCACTCCGGTGCGCCGCAATCCCTCGCGCCGCTCCTGCCGAGGTCAGCTTTCTTATCGACGTAGTCGTTCCACTTATGACCAGTGTGCCCCTTGACGTGTCTCCATGTCACTTCGTGCCTCGACGCTAAATGCCGCCACGCTGCTCGAAGGGCCGGGCTCGTTGCACGAGTATATTGGGCCACGATGTCTCAAATATGAGGGTTTTGACTCCTACCGGCTCCTGACGCTATCCCTGGCAGCTCTAATGACCAGGATCAGTAGTGTTGTGATAGAGGGTGCCCATACTGTACTAGCGCAGGAGCTGCCACACTCGCCCGGACCGTCCCCTTCTGGGGCCGGTTCCGCAGCCCGCGAGAGCCGACAGCGGGGCCGTGCCGCGGGTGCCTACTGCCGAGTGCCACAAACACTGCGCCGTCCCGCCATCACCTACAGGCTGTCTTGTGTGATGGTTGGGATGTCCAAGCGCCACCATCTTGGCTCTTGCGACCTCAAACCCGCGAGCTGTATGGGTGGTCCTGACGTCGACAGACGCCCGATGACCACGGTGAAGCTGAGCCGGAACGAGTCGACAAGTCTCGTCTGAGCCGGTGGCGGTCGCCGGCTGAGTCGCTGTGCACGGGCCGGTACCTCAGGCGTCACCTCCGCAGCCGCAGCAAGGCACGCCGTTCGAGTCGACCTGGAAGAAGAAGCTCGCCTCCTCCTCGGCGTCGGCTCCCTGCGGCGGCTGGTCGCGCCGCGTGTGGGCGCAGTAAGCGGCCCACGCCTCCCGGCTGGGCCGGAAGCGCACGCTCAAAAAGCACCAGCGCCCCGCCGCCGCCGCACACGCCGCGGCGCCTCCGCCGCCGGGCAGGGCGGGCGAGGAGGCGACCCGCGTGTGCGCGACCCGCAGGGCGGCGGCGGAGGCGGCGACGGCGCCGCTCGCTGCGGAAGGCGGGAGGGCGGCCGCCCTGGCTGCGCCGACGGGCACGTCGACCCGCTCGCAGACGAGCCGCTCGCCCACCCACACCAGCTCCCAGGCCGCCCGAGGCGCGTCGCCGTCGCGCTGGTCGGCGGCCAGCGCGCACCGCGCCAGCAGCGGCGGCACCGACGGCGGCAGCCAGCGCAAGTCTCGCCGCAGCGCGTCGAGACCGCCGCGCGGGCGGAGCAGCTCGAAGACGCAGCCCGAGGCGACGGGGCTGCCGCTGCTGTCCTCGGCCCAGCGTGGCAGCAGCACCCACGCGCTCGGCGGGAGCTTGGGCACCGCGCCGCCGCCTCGCGGCTGCGCCGCCGCCGCCTCCGCAAACTCGAAGCGCCAGTCCGGGTCGGCGCAGCGGACGTGCGCGAAGCGCTTGTGGCACGCCTTGAAGCCGATGCCCATGAAGCCAGCCGCGCGCCGGCTCTGCTTTGTGCTCATGCCGACGCTCGCGAGACCGTTGACGTCGAGCGGGCTGAAGCCGCGGCCGTCGTGGGAGAGGCGCAGCGCGGGGCCGGGCAGCAGCTCGAGCCGCACCACCCGCGCGCCGTCGTCCACCGCGTTCTGCAGCAGCTCGAAGAGGTACAGGTCCGAGCGCGGGAACTGCTTCTCGAGGATCGAGAGGAAGCCTCGTACCGAGGGCTCGAGCACGTGCTGCGTGTAGTAGCCGCGGATCGCGTCGACCACCCACCGCCGACCCGCGGGCGTGAGCGGGGAGCGGGCCTCCGAGGCGGCGAGGCGCGCGGCGGAGGCCAGGTCGAGCGGCTCCGCAGCAGAGCTGCCGGCAGCGGAGCTGCGGTCCAGCCGTCGCCACTGCGGCTTTCCTCCGGCGGTGGAGCGGCAGAGCTGAAGCGACGGCCACGGCTCTGGTAGCTCGGGCTCCTCCGACCCTCCGACCCGCGCCGCCTCGTCCACGATGACGGCGGCGAAGCCGCGGCGGTCGACGGCGAGCACGGTAGTCGGAGAGTGCTCGAGGAGCAGGCACGTGCCAAGCACCTCCTCCGCGTGCGGCTGCGCCCAGAGCCGGAGGGAGAGGTCGGGCATCCCAGGGTGGCAGCGAGGATAGCAGCCAGGTAAAGAAGCGAGGATAGCAGCCAGGTTGGCAGCGAGGATAGCAGCCTGGTTGCAGCGAAGAGCGGGAGAACTCATGAGTCGGATGAAGCGACAGGAGAGAGAACGACGAGAGTGAGACCGCGGGGCGGCATGAAGGTCGCTGCGAGACTTGGCGAGAGACTGCAAAGAGACATAGGCAGAGGCAGACGCCCAAGGGTGGGCGACGGCTAGAGGGCTAGTACGTCACACTCCTCTCCTTAAAGATGCCCTGCAGCTATAAGCGCGTTTGCTATTCGAAATACCTGCGTTTCCTGTACAGGAAGCGACAGCCTCCAGACACACACCTCATACTGTCATACACACATATGGAGCCCCTCTCTCGCCCCCCTGGCGGCGGCAGTGGCCATGGCGACGCTGACGGCGGTGGCACTCGTGGGACGTGGCGGTGACACTCGTGGCCGCGGCGGCGCCTGGGCAGCAGAGAGCTGTCGCTGCAGTGCTGGCGGCAGCTGGCGGCGGCGGCTGGATGCGGCGGCTGGCGGCGGCATTGCTGGCGGCGGCCATGCGGGGGAGGCGTTGCTGTGGCGGCGATGCAGCGCTGTCCTCGCGGCTGACGTGCGCCCGGGATAGCAAGCACTGGCAGTCTGCCGGCGCGGCCGGCGCATTCGAATGCGCCCGCCGCGCCGGCAGACTGTTGGATGGCCACAGTCGCGAAAGTGGGTGAAGTCCGTGCGGCGCCGTGGCAGCGGTGGCCAGGCGGCCCCTCTCGGTGCGCCACCGCGACCGCGTTGCGCTCTCGCGCCTCGCCATGCTGCAGGCTGGACGAGGGACATTTGTCGCGACTTTCAAGGGAAAACGCAACGCATCTTGAATATGGCTGCAGGGCATCTTTAATCCCTGTGTGCCGCGATGATAGCGATGAATCGGCGCGGCAGCGGACGGACGTCAACGCGAGCGGACGGCGCGAAAGTGCTCGGGCCTCGGCGCGACAGAAACTGGAGAGAGAGAGAGATCACGACTCTCACAGTGATTTTGGGCTCGGCAGCTTGACCAGAAACTGGCGTGTGTGGTGGAGGCGTGCCATCCTCCCATCCCTCCCTTGGGTTGTCTGTTTTCTTTCTTTAAGACACAAAGCTGGACCTAGTGATGAGCCGTTACACATATGCCATATCCGGATATGCAACGGTGGCATAAGGCGACTGATGCACCGTCCCAGGACCTGAGCTGGTGCTGCACCTCGAGTGCTGGACTGGCGCGCCAAGTACACACAGGCGCGCCAAGTACACACAATCAGCGGCTCGGATACCCGGCTCGCTGCTGTCTCGTCACTCGTGTGTCTGCGCGCAACAAAGGAAAACACACCGTGCCTGCTATGAGCAACATGCAACAGAGGAAACACCGATCGCAAAAAAGAAAGTGCGGCCGCGCGGCTCGGCCACAAGACACACAGCTGGAACTGGCGCGCCAAATACACACAAACAGCGGCTCATACCCGGCTCTGCTATGTGGGCATGGGCGCCCCGTCCGAGCCGCACGCGATGAGCTCGAAAACGTACGTGCCGGGTGCGCCCTCCTCCCCAAACGCCTTGAGCGCGGCCAGCCCCGCCCACCGCTGCGGCTCCTGCACGTACCACGCGGCGGTATGCCGGTGGCGGTCGCTCTGGACGAGCTTGGTCTCGCCGAGCGCCGCGATCTCGCACCGCCGCGTGGCCACCTCCTCCGCCGCGTCCGCCCCGCCCACCATCAAAAAGGAGTTGAACTTCTCCTCGAAGGCCTGGACGTTGTCGCGGTGCGGCGCCTCCCACCTTGGGCGCAGGGCAGGGCGCGGTTGAGAGGGAGGTGTGGGCGGAGTGGTGTGGGCGTAGAGCGGTGAGGATGCGGAGCGGCAGGGGGGCACCATTTTCCCTCTTGCCAATAGCCGAACTTGCGGAAGGACCACTGGGACGGGTGACTGCTGGCTGCGAGCGAGTCGGAGAGACTGAGGTGCATGCGGTGCCAGACTTGGTAGTCGTCTGTCTCGCGCATCTTGCTGGCCATGTCAATCAGCACCTCGTCGCCACGGGTGGAGAGTACGGAGTACCGCTCCCAGCTGGATGGCTGGCCCTCGCTATCGCGGTACTCCCACTCGAACCAGTCCCCCTCTTTGAAGCGCGACGACGCGAGCTGCCGCCCCATCGCGACGTGCGCAGGGCCGGACCGGGGCTTGCTGTGCTGCCGCTCCTCCAGGAGACGTGGATGCCGCGCGCGAGCTGCTTGGTCGGAAGAGAAAAGCGCTGCACTGGCGCCGACGGCTGCGCCTCCCGCGAGGTGGCGGAGATGCAGCATATGTGTCGAAGGAGCGGGACGCGGTGGTGCCCCGGTGTGGATGGAGTGGGGCGGAATTTGAGAGCTTTCTCTTTTATTCTACCCTTTTCTTCATAGTAACGGCATTTAGTCGGAGAGGCGCCCGAGATGGGGGCCGGGGGGATTAGATCGCGCGCGGCGCGCGTGCGTCCCCTCAGCCAATCAGGAGCTTCTCCTCCTCGATCAAGGAGTAGGGAGGTAGGTACCTCCATGCTGAGTGAGCGGCGCCGGCCCCTTCCTTGCGGATCCGGCCAGAGGTGTCGTAGTGCGAGCCGTGGCACGGGCAGAACCACCCGTTGTAGTCGCCGGCCTTGTTGATCGGGACGCAGCCGAGGTGCGTGCACACGCCAAGCACGACCAGGGTCTCTGGGTTAAGCGTCTCTGCCCGTCTCTGCCCGTCTCTCCGACCGACGTTGGCAGACGCGGGACGATGGCAGACGCGGAGACGCCGCGGCCCCGCAAGCACGCCACACGCGGCCACGCGAACGAGTGGGTGCGAGGACGGCTCGGCGAGGGGCTCACGGCGGGGTCGCACACGGCAGGGGTGACGGGGCCGCTGTGGAGCGATGTGGTCAGGGGAACGACGAGACACAAATGGGACAAGCGCCAGCGGATCAAGGATCAGCACGGCGAGCGCGAGATTGAATTCGCCGACGTGGATGATCATAACGTGGTGACAAAGACCGTCATGGGAGCGCGTGTGCGGCAGCAGGCGGGGGTGCCACACGGAGCGCACCACGAGAGGATTATGCGGGGAGAGGCGGGGAGAGAGACCCCGGGCGCCGCCACAAGGAGCGAACTCAGGGGCTGCCTCGTCTGTAAGGCCGCGAGGGACGCGGCGAGGAGGGCGGCACTAAAGCGAGACCCGCTGTGTCCGATCGTGCGGAAAGCCGCGCAGCAATGGACCGAGGAAGATGAGAACCCACCTAGAGCGACGATGGCGCACTTGCTTAGCGGCGCCTGCCTGGGGAATAGGGAGCAGGCCAGATGGTTCCTCAGAGTAGCGCGAGCGCAGACGGGGACGGCGATCAGCAAAGTAGCCCAGGCGGCACCCGACTCCAAGGATACGCTGAAGACGCTGAGGATAGCGCATGTCGCTGCGCTGAAGGGCTCACGCTATAGGGTGCTGGATGAGGACGGGTACGATGCACTAGCCCCAGCCGTCGGGGGGGTGTTGCCGGCGCTGGTAGATGATCTCTCGGAGACGAGCCGGAGGGACCTTGGCGCCGGGGTCACGAGGAACTTGCAAGTCGTGGCCGAGGCGGCGACGGGCGCGGTGCAGAGGTGGATCCAGCTCAATGATGAGGCTACGGCGCGCATAATGAAGAGAGAGGAACACATCGAGTGGCTGAGGAAGCTCTTCACTGGGTGGAAAGAGGCTCGGCCGGCCTTGAGGGAGTCGCAGAGGAGGGATAACGCAGGCAACGCAGGGACGGGCCAACAGCCAGTGGGACGAACGAGGGCCGCGACGGCGGCTCAAGCGGGAGGGAGCGGAGACGGTGGGAAGCGAGCGAAGTGGGTGAGACTGATGATGCTCCTTCGACTTAGGGAGCGGTTCAGATGCTGGGCGGGCTTCAGCGTTCAGGCTGGTGCTCACGCGAAAAGGAATCGACGCGATGTGCAAAGCATACAAGAAGGGGAGAAGGAAGAGGAGGGACGCCGGTGAGGACGAAGCAGAGACTAGCGCAGACGAGAGCAGGGCAGACCCGGGGACTGGGGAGCCGGAGCAGACGGCATCGGCCGCCGAGGGAACGTTGGGAAGAGGCACGAGGAGGGCGGCGACCTCGACCGACTATGGACAGCCCCTTGGAGTGTGAACGGCTTCGTAGCCCTCCGGTCTACTAACTGAAGATCCGCAGGACTGGAGCGAAAAAAAAGCAAGCGAGTGGACTATGGAGGACCCGTCGCCAGACGACGCAGGGCAGAAGACGGTGAGGCGGAGCAGACGCGCAGGGCGAGACGAGGGAGGGAGCAGGACTTTGCGGAGATCAGCAGGAGGATGTACGAAGAGATTAGGAGCAGCAGGGACCCGAGGGACCATGTGGAAGACGGCTAGTGCTAGCCCCCCATCGGGAGGACGACCCCGGCTAGTCGCCGACCACACCCACAAAGAACCCTGCACAAAGATCGCAAGGGCGGGGACCTGTTCCTTTTTACCCATCTCACAGTAGAGAGGTGTCCGTTTTTATTTATTTATTTATTTATATACAAAGGGCTCCGAACGACTCCTCTGCCGCATGCCTCTCTCTCTCTCTCTCTCTCTCTCTCTCTCTCTCTCTCTCTTCCTCTTCTCTCTCTCTCTCTCTCCGCTCTCTCCGCTCCCCCCCCCCCCCCCCCCTGGCTCAAATGGGCTCCCGACAGGTCGGGCAGGTTGGCTCTCGATCGCGACTTCGGCACTGCTGCCGCCACGCCATCACACAAGCGACGTGCAAGGAGTGCCGCCCGCACGGCTTGCACTGCGGCATTTCTCCAGCCTCCATGCATATGCAGCACTCCTCCACCTCGTCCTCTGCCGGCACTGCGGTTGCCGCCTGAGCATCGTCCGATCCGCCCTCCGATGTCGACGCACGAGGCGCCGTCGCCTCTGCCCTCGCCCGGAGCTCCGCTCGACGCGCCCGTCTCGTCTCGGCCGCCTCCCTCCGCCTCTGAGCCTCTGCGCGCCGCGCTGCCACGCGAGCCTCCTGCGCCGCCTCCTGCGCCGCCACAGCGCGTGCCTCCAGCCGTTGCCGCTCCTCCCGCTCTATCTCCGCAGCGGCCTCGACGTCTACGGCACGTCTCCGGACCCTCTCCAGCTCAGCCACAAGGGCTGCGTGCGAGTGCGCCTCGAGAGAACGGTGAGAGAGGATGTCGCACGCGTCCTCAACATCTTCCAGCGCTTGGCTAACGCTCCCCATAGTGCAGAAGGCCTCGGCGCGCAAGCACATGCTGCGCACCAGCGACGTCAACGCAGCAGGCTCAGACGCAAATTGGAGGAGCTCGATCGCCTGCTGGTAGCGGTCGAGCGCAACGGCCGCTCGGCCCCTGTTCATGGCCTGCTCACCGTCATGGCGGAGCGCCCCGGCCTTGGCGATCACGCGCGCCTCGTCGCTCGCGCCTCCGGAGCGGCGACGCCGGCAACGGACAGCGGCGAGGTCCGCCTCGACTTGGTCGTACTCGTCGGGCAAACGCTTCCCGGTCTGGCGGACGGTCTCCCGCGTGTTCTCCGGGGTGTCTAACCAGCCAAGCGTCTCCAAGCGCCGCACCCACTGTTGCCTCTCGGCCAGCGGTGGCGCAGGGCGCCCAGTCGGCCACAACATGCGACGATAGGCGTACCCGCCGATGCCTTCGCGAACCAGCTCCGCGATCTGCTGCGCACGCTCGGACGGCTCCATTGACCGGATGTGCCCTCGCATGCCAAACCAGTGCAAGTCGGTCCGGTATTGGGCCCAAATCTCATCAAAGGACTTGATGCTCTTGGTGGTTTGAAAGACCAACCCGCCGCTGTACTCGCGCATCTCGAGGCTGCAACCCTGGGCCATCTCAAAACAGAGCGCGGTGCTATCGCCAAACACACGATTGCGCTCCATGATCCGCTCCGTGTTGATGATGCCGGATTCGCCCGCAGCCAATCGCATGCGCACAAAGAGTGGGCGCACCTCGGACTGCTCGACTGTGTCACAGCGGCAGAGGGGCTCCTTGCCCTCGCGCCGCGTGAAGGAGAGCAGGAGTACAGGGTGGCGCTGCCCTCTCAGGTCGGCAATGAGAAAGGCACAGGTGAGGCGACGGTCCAGCAACTCGCCGGCTACCAAAGATGAGGTCCTCGGAAGATCGCCGAGGCGCCGAGAGCGGTCGCGGAAGGCCTCCAAGAGAACGCTGCGGTGACGGCACTCGCGATCGTGGCCGTTGTCGCGGTCCCTGCGCTGGCACTCCTCCGAGCAGTACAGCTTTCCGCAGACGTCGCAGTCGAGACTCGTCGCCTTGGGCGCCAACGTTGCGCAGACTGCACACAGGGAGAGGGCCACGATGCTGCTTGGATGAACAACCAAGGTTCGGATCTTGCCGGTGCTGTCCGGTCTCTTAGTCCGAACCTCGTACCGCTCGCCGTCCACCGTGCTCATCACCGTCACGACCGCATCGTTCAGTTCCTGGCAACGGTCAAGCCCTACTAACTTGGCGTCAGCTCCAATCGGCAGCGTGAGTGCCGCCGGCACCTCCTTGTTTGCCTCCACGCACGCCGCGCATCGGCCAGTGCCGAGCCTAACCTTCTTCCGCTGAGCGGCCGAGAAGTCACTCGCGCGGAGCTCGCTCCGGCAGGCGGCGCACCTCAGCATCGGCAAGGGGCGGTGCTTGCTCTCTTCCGCGTCGCGCCGCAGTTCGAGCAGTCGCTGCTGGGGGGCGCGGGCGGTCAAAACCTTGGTCTCGCGGTTTGTTTTTTTTTCAGTACGTACGTTTTAGCTTACTGGGAGAAGAGGGAGAGGGGGTTGTGTTCTCCAGGCCCCTATCTCAGTGTATGTAGTTTTTATGAACAGGGCTCCAGGCCCCAAATGATGTGTGAGTCTTAGAGTTGTTTTGTTTTGCTCAAAGTGCTTTTCGGTCTCAGACCTACCTACATTCTAATTCCAGAATGGCATTCTTCGAAATAGAATGGGCGCCGCAGCGGCCCGTAGCGGCGCCCCCTGCGTGCCCACGGCCACCCCGGGGCCATGGGACATCCCCCCGGCCATCGGGGATGCTTGGTTCATCCATTACCCCATTTACACGGGCTGTGTTGCGGCGCGCCTCGAGACGCGCAGCGCAGCGCAGCGCGCAAACCACAAAACAGATCAGAAGACGGCCGTGGCGACACCCGCTCTCTGAGCGACAGCCCCGCAAAGGGCACTCGCTCGCAGGCAAGGACTACGGGCAGCACCGGCAGCAGCAGAGCTGGCGGTCCGTCTCCCCGCCCGCTTAGCAAGTCGGCCCCAGCGTCACGGCCGGGACGGGCCAGGAGCCGCCCGGCTCGACGAGCACTCTTGTAGCATGCAGCACACAGACTGCATGGGTTTGCCTCTGCATAGACGGGCTGATTCTACATTCCGTATTTCTCTGAAAATGCAGAATGCAGTTGCAGAATGCAGAATGCAGAACCCAGCCCAAAATGTTTACTCTGTATGTGCAGCATGCAGAATGCAGGATGCAGGAAGCAGAATCGTCCCCAAAATGGATTCTTCTGCATGGTGCAGGATGCAGGATGCAGAATGCAGGATGCAAAATCAGTGAGACCCAAAGAGTTTGTCCGTCGGGTGCAGCTCACAGCTTTGAGCCCGATTCCGCATCCTGCATCCGCATCCTGCATTCTGCATCGGGTGCTAAGGCATCCGGCTTTGGGCCCGATTCTGCATTCTGCATTCTGCATCTGCATCCTGCATCGGGTGCAGTTCACAGCTTTGGAGCTGATTCTGCATTCTGCATTCTGCATCTGCATCCTGCATGATGTCATGTTGGTGCCCGGGCACAAAAGGCAGAGATATCACGATAGTTACTCTCGAGCGCAGATTACGCATGATCAACTCCTGAGGAGCGCCAACGGCGCGACGCGGCCCGGGTTTCGCACACAGCAGCCCCCGGCAGGGCCTAGGGAACAGCGTGTGAGCTTTGGCGAACTATCATAGCCGCAGACTTGTCCATGCGAAAAAGGAGCGCAGATTAAATCCTGATGTCCGGAACGGACTTATATGTGTTTGTACTGTTATGAAAAAAACACACCAACACAACACGGGAGCTACGATCACCTCCTGAGGAGCGCCAACGGCGCGACGCGGCCCGGGTTTCGCACACAGCAGCCCCCGGCAGGGCCTAGGGAACAGCGTGTGAGCTTTGGCGAACTATCATAGCCGCAGACTTGTCCATGCGAAAAAGGAGCGCAGATTAAATCCTGATGTCCGGAACGGACTTATATGTGTTTGTACTGTTGTGAAAAAAACACACCAACACAACACGAGAGCTACGAGCGGCTCTTAATCTCTCTTCTCGCACATATGTTCCCTCCCCTCACAGGATGCAGATGCAGAATGCAGAATGCAGAATCGGCCCCAAAGCTGTGAACTGCGCCCGATGCAGGATGCAGATGCAGAATGCAGAATGCAGAATCAGCCCCAAAGCTGTGAACTGCACCCGATGCAGGATGCAGATGCAGAATGCAGAATGCAGAATCAGCCCCAAAGCTGTGAACTGCACCCGATGCAGGATGCAGATGCAGGATGCAGAATGAAGAATCAGCCCCAAAGCTGTGAACTGCACCCGATGCAGGATGCAGATACAGAATGCAGAATGCAGAATCAGCCCCAAAGCTGTGAACTGCCCCCGATGCAGGATGCAGATGCAGGATGCAGAATGCAGAAGCGGCCCCAAAGGTACAGCTGTGAGAGACGTGCAGGATGCAGGATGCAGAATGCAGAATGCAAAAACTCACCCACAGCCAGGAGAGAGCGAATAGAGTATGATGCAGGATGCAGGTGCAGAATGCAAAAACTCGCCCAATATAGGTAGGAGAGGCCAAAAAAAGAGTCGTACGGAATGCACAATGCAGGTGCGGAATACAGAATCCCACCCAAGAGTGCACTGTGTGTGCAGAGAGGGTCTGTATGGTGCAGATGCTCTCTATACAGACTGTGTGCTGCATACTACATGTCTCTCGACGAGATCGACGAAGAGGACAAAGACGAGGACGAAGACGAGAAGAGGACTACTCGAACTTGGACGAGGACTCAGGCGAGGCGCAGGACTCGGAGATCGGGCAGGGAAGCGAGGACCATGACTAGGTGACACGAGGAGTAGATGTGACACAGGTAGACCGCATTCGCACTGTCTGCTCACTTCTGCCGCCCGACCCTTTCGCCCGCCCACCACTTGCGAGCACAAATCTCACACTTCCACTGCCCTCGCCACAGGCGGCGACGGACGGACATCCAAGGCTCGAACGGCGGCAGCAGCTCAACGGCCGCCGGCGGCCGTCGTGCGTTTGCTTTCGCCATACGCGGCCCCCGGCGTCTGCTCTGGTTTGCCGGGGCGGGGGGGAGGACTCTCATTTGCGGACTGTTGGGCTTCTCTGTGTTGAACTGGCGCTTGTCGCGAACCCCACCAGTCTGGCCGAGCGGCACGCTGCCGCTGGGGGCGTGAGGAGGCCGTGGGGGACGGCGGCGGACCCCATTCTTCGATATAGAATGGGCGCTCACCGCGGCCCGTCTGCTGCTGAAAATGTGGCGTGTTGGGGGCTCTCCTGTGTGACTCCTCTGGCTCGCCGCGTTAAAGTGGCGCCTGTGTGTGACCAGCCTCAACCCCGGCAAGCGCCCCCCGGCCGCTGGGGCTGCGAGGCGGCCGGGTGAGCGCGCGCGAGACGCCATTCTACATTATAGGATGCCATTCTATAATATAGAACAGCCAGGTAGGGCTGAGACCGTTTTGCGTATATTTCCGGACGGATGGAGGAGGACTCTTTCCATTGAGTTGTTGAATCGTAACTAGGACTGGACACCAACGCGGTATGGGTGGATGCGAGACAGGAGACGACGGCACACGCTCGAGCGACACACAGGCACATAAGCTCACCCGATGAGCAAACAAAGGTGCCGGTTTGGTGTTCACACCTGATGAGGCAAAGCTGGTCATCTCGTTTTGGGTTGGAGGGCGAGCAGCAAGAGCCAAAAACAAAGGCGCTTCCCGGCTCTGCTCCCGCGCCTCGCCACGGCCACTCTCTCTGCCGCCGACGACCAAGAACCGCCGCCGCCTCTCCCTCCCCGTGCCCCACACAGGCTCGCGCGCGATGGCCTCCGCGCGGGCGATGCGCGCTGCGCTGCAGAAGATTGCCGAGCGCGGCGCACAGGCGCGCAGAGAAGTACTGTGCGCCGCCGTTCCGTCGCTGTGCCGTCTGACCGCCTCTTCCCCTGGCTCAGTCGTCGCTGCTCGCGCCGGCGGTCGCTGCCGGCACCGCTGTCGCTGTCGCGTCCGTGTCGACGGTGCACGCCTCTGACGTCATCCACGCGCCGCACCAGTCTTGGGACTTCAAGGGGTTCATGTCGTCGTACGACGCGGCCTCGGTCCGCCGAGGCCACCAGGTGTACACACAAGTCTGCGCCTCGTGCCACGGCCTCGCTCGCATCGCGTACCGCAACCTGGTGCGCCCGCTCCGCCGCCCGCTCCGCCGCATATGCTGCCGCCGCGTTGCCGCTGCCGCGTTGCCGCCGCCGCCGCGCCGCAGGGGCACGCGCCTGCTCGTCGCCGCGGCCCCCGACCGCCGCACGCCGCGCGGACAGGTGGACGTCTGCTACTCGGAGGAGGAGGTCAAGGCCATGGCCGAGGACACCGAGGTGATGGACGGCCCAAACGACGAGGGCGAGATGTTTGAGCGGCCGGGCAAGCTGTCCGACTACCTGCCCTCGCCGTACCCCAACGAGGAGGCCGCGCGCTACGCCAACAACGGCGCCTACCCGCCCGACCTCTCGCTCATCATGAAGGCGCGGCACAACGGGCCCGACTATGTCTTTGCGCTGCTGACGGGGTACAAGGACCCGCCCGCGGGCGTCGCGGAGCGGGAGACGCAGTACTACAACCCGTACTTCCCCGGCGCGTGGATCGGCATGCCCATGCCGCTCAACGAGGGCGCGGTCGAGTACGACGACGGCACGCCCGCCACCGCCACGCAGATGGCCAAGGACGTCTGCACGTTCCTCACGTGGGCGGCGGAGCCCGAGGCGGACGAGCGCAAGCTGATGGGCGTCAAGTGCGCGCCGCGTCGCCCCGCCACCCGCCACCCGCGCCCTCCGCCCAGCCGCGGCCGACTGCGCGCGCAGGTGGATGCTCACCCTGACGGTGCTCTTTGGCTTCACCTGGTACTACAAGCGCGTGCGGTGGGCCCCAATCAAGACGCGCCGGCTCGAGCTCTACTAGAGAGGGGGGGGGGGGGGGGGCACGGGGGAGGGGAGCCCCCCACCCCGGTCTTGTCCCGGCGCCGCCGAGTACATTGCCGGACCACCTTGCGTCAGAACCCACCGCCGGCTCTCGCTGCCACAATTCGCAGTACTCCCTTGTGTGATTGGGCGCGCAGAATTTCGCCTGTCTTGTCACTTTAGCGAGATCTTCTCGCATGGGACCGGGTGGCGGCGGCACTGCTCGCCGGCGATCATATTTCCCACAAGGCTCACATCTATACTGCAATGCATCTCTGCGTACATAAAACTTCAAGGCACGTGGGCCCGGAAGTCGGATGACAGCTCAACCCCTCTCAAGACGGTGTGGTCGGTGGGCTGGCTCCGGCTCAGGTCGTGGGGCATAGCTCGGGTGTAAACGGGGTCTGGGCAGCGGCCCGCCGCAGGCGCCGCCGGAGGCTGGCCCGCCGCAGGCGCCGATTTTTTTTGGCGTTTTTTGCTCAAAATTGAGATATTTCTCATCAAATTCTCATCAAAATCGAGCTCGCTACGTCCTACGAGCTCTCTAACTGCACAGCACTCCTCGTTGAGCCTAGCGGCGCCCGTATCGCCCACGCCAACATTCTTCTTCTTCTTCTTGCCCTTCTTGCCCTTGGGCCCTTGCTGCACTTAGCCGCTCAACCTCCGCCAGCAGCAGCTCCTTGGCATGCCGCGCCGCCTCCATCTGCTTTGCTTCCCACGCTGCCGCTTCCTCTAAAGCAGCGCCGCCACTAAGCGGCGCAACCAAGTTCTCGCATTGTTTGCATGAGCACGTGTTCTGCTTGGCGCGGCGCACAATCCGCGCGCGGCGAGTGAGGTGCGTGAGAGCAGAAGACTGACAGCAGGAGCTGCAGGAGCTGCAGGAGCTGCGCGGGTCGGATGGGCGGTGACGCCGTCGAGCGACGGCGCAAAGGTCAATCGCTGCTGCTGCGCCAACGAGAGCGGCGACACGAGGCTGCTGGCAGCTGGCAGAGCGAATCGCGATTCCGGCGGCCGCCGTCAGCCCGCCGACACCGACGGCCTGGCTGAGGTCAAACTCCTCCACACGTCGGACCAGCCATGCGTCGGCCACGGCGACGAGACGTCTGTATGCAGACAGCCCGACACCCGGGCGATAGAACATGCCAGCTGGGCTCTTCCACAGGGCTCTCGTGGCCTGGCGAAACCCAGGTGAATAGGGCGGGCTGCGGCGGGCGCAATAACTATTCACAGCTTATGAAAACCGGAAACACTAGAGTCTGCAGAAGAGTTCGAGTGGTCTTCGTGCTCAGAAGGATTGAGAGAGCTCTATTCACACCCTTTGTGCGTTGAAGACCACAGGCAATGCCCGTTTACACCCAACCGACGAGTCGCTGGGCCCTCTGACCTGAGCCGGAGCCGGCTCGCGTTGTGCGAGTATATGGGACACGATGTCTCAAATATGAGGGGTTTTGACTCCTACCGGCTCCTGACGCTATCCCTGGCAGCTCTAATGACCAATCAGTAGTGTTGTGATAGAGGGTGCCCATACTAGCGCAGGAGCTGTCACACTCGCCCGGACCGTCCCGTCCTGGGGCCGGTTCCGCAGCCCGCGAGAGCCGACAGCGGGGCCGTGCCGCGGGTGCCTACTGCCGAGTGCCACAAACACTGCGCCGTCCCGCCATCACCTACAGGCTGTCTTGTGTGATGATTGGGATGTCCAAACGCCACCATCTTGGCTCTTGCGACCTCGAACCCGCGAGCTGTATGGGTGGTGCTGACGTCGACAGACGCCCGATGACCACGGTGAAGCTGAGCCGTAACGCGTCGACAAGTCTCGTCTGAGCCCGTGGCGGTGGCCGGCTGAGTCGCCGTACACGGGCCGGTACCTCAGGCGTCACCTCCGCAGCCTCAGGTCTCACACTCCATCACCTCCGACGGGACGCCTTCGGTGTCACGCTCGGCGGCGTACTTTCTGCAGCTCCATCTCGAGTACGGCGTCGAGTCTACTCACTCCTGTTGGATCTGTGCACTCCCTGGGTCCCAGGGAGTGCACAGATCCAGCAAGCGGTGCGTCCCGGCAGCGCGCGCTGGCTGCAACAAACTCGAGACACGCTTTTTCGGGTCGGTCACCATGTTCAAACTCCGCACTTTAATTCGAACTTTCTCGCCTCGGCTCGTGGGGCTCGGGAGTAGTCAAGCAGGTGTGCGGGGTGGGCGGGAGGGGGCCTGGGAGCATTTTTTTGCATTTCCGAGGCGAGCGTGGGCCGTGGTGGGCCCCTCCGGGCCTCTCTCAGCAGCACGGAAAGTAGCGCGCGACAGAGCGCTGTTCTCGGCCCCCTGAGCGTATTGGGACGAGCCAGACTAGCATGCACATCGCCTTGGCACGTAGGACGCACGACTTACCCCGCACACCCCGGTGACAATCTTGGAAATCTCCCGACAATCTCCCCAAATCTCCTCCCGCTCTCGCGAGTAGCGCGGCGCAGCGGGGCGCGTTGATGTCGATGAATGCAGTGTGGACTCCTTTTCGACACTCTCTAGCACCGGTGAACACACAGGCGTTGCTTCCGAGGTGGTAAAAATCTGTGAATGCCCGCCGAAGTTGTCGCGGTTTTCCGACTTGTCTCGTGCTCGTTGCCATGCCGAAAAGAGCGGGCGCAGGCCTGGGACAGCGTCGCAAAAGCGGCCAAGGAGTCCGTCCCGGCTCCAGGCCAGGACCAGATCGCCGCTCGGTACCGCCAGTTTGCGACTCTGTGCCTGCGCAGTCGTCGCTATCTCACGCTTCCGATCTCGTCACAACAGGCGCCCTCGCCGAGTGCAACGTCCTCGCGGCCGCAAAGCCGTGCTGGCTCGCGCAGAGTCGGCGTCGCAAAGAACCTGAGAGCGCCGCGGCATGCTTCGGTTGGCGACGTCCTCGGCGAGGCCATGGAGCTGCATAGCACGAGCGACGAGGGCCGCCGCGACGGGATCTACAACCAGAGAGAGCACGGACGCCGAGGATCGCTCTCCCGTGCAGCGCCGCAGCGGCTCGTCGGCGGCTCGTCGGCTGCGGCCTCGAACGGAGATCGCATGGAGGTTGACGAGGAACCTCCCTCTCTGAGCAGTGCTCCAGCGGAGCCTGCGCAGCAGCAGCAGCAGCAGCAAGCAAGCGTGCTCACGCTGGTGGCCAACATCGGACGCCTCGAGCTGGAGGAGGTTGGCCACCGTGCCGCCGCTCGCGAAGCGATTACAGCGACTACCAGGACGCAAACATCAGGCGTGCCGACGCCTCGCGAGCTGCGTGCCCAAGCCCGGCTCGACTTGCAAGTCGTAGGGCTGCGCGAGGAGGAGCGGCGGCGGCAGCGGCTGCACGCGGCGGCAACGACGAGGCTCGTTCGAGAACTGGCGCTGAAGCTCTCGAACCCGCTGCGACACTTTGGCAGGGGTGCATTCATTCAGTTGATGATGTGCGAATTCGTCATGCGGCCAGAGGTACAGGGCCGCTCCGGCCGCTCCCTCGGCGTAGCGTTTCGCTCGCAGCTGCTGCTGGTGTACGAGGCGCTACGTCTTGCTCTGGACGCGATCCGGAGCGACCCCGGCGCGCGGCTCCAGCCCGGCACCCTCCGCGTGTGGCGTCGGGCACGCGCAGACCCTCCCTCCTCCGCCACCGCTACTGGCACCTCCGCCTCCGCCGCCACTCTCAACCGCGCGGCCGCCACCAGCTCTGCCAGCTCCGCCGCCGGCACTTCCTCCCGGCCTCTAGCTCGACCGCCGCCGCCACGTCCTCCGCCGCGGCCTCTAGCTCCACCACGGATGCGGCCTCTAGCGGTGCTGCTGGCTCCGCCCAGGCCGGTTCGTCTACCGTCTCCTCAGAAGCTGGGCTCGGCATCTCGTGGACAGAGCTAGAGCCGACGCTCTACGGCCGGGCGACCCAGCGTCGCTCGAGCTGCCCCGTGCCGACGGACAGGTACGACGAGCACTTGAACGACATCATTGTGCATAACATGCAGGACCTCTCACCGTGGGCCGACAGCCAGGACGTGCAGGCGAGGGCGCCGATCTCGGGGATGACGATTCGCGCCGGATCGCTCTTCAACCGCTTCAAATCGGGAGCCCCCACCGGGTGGGTGGCGAAGCTGTTCGCGGGCGAGGCACCGACGGAGCGCAAGCTGGTCATGCAGCGCTTTACCGACGGCAGCGAGTTTGGCGGGCACTGGCACCAGCTCCTCTTCTTCGTCGACCAGAGACGGGTGCTCTACCACGAGCCCTATGGCGGCGCAATCGACTCGGGCATCGCGTCTTGCTTCCACCGGAGCCCCGGGCCTGCCGCCGGCTGGGCGCTGGAGGTGGTGGATGTGCAGCTGCAGTCTTGCACTCACGAGTGCGCGCTCTGGGTGGACTTTGTCGCGGAGGTGGCTGTCGACTACGTGAGGAGCGACCTGACTTGCTCCTTCAGCGAGTACCTTCGCGGGTGCGCTCTCCCTGTGTGTGTGTGTGCATGCCTGCGATAAGGCTGACCGGTGTCGCGCCGCCCCCGCAGGCGTGAGGAGATCACCCCGCTCAACGGCATGCGGCGGACTTGCACGGCGATGAAGACGGCGAAGGCAAAAAACAACGCCTTCGTCGCACAGCGCCGAAACGACGTGCGCACGCTGTTACGTCTAGCCTATGTCCAGCGCCAACTGCCGCACACAGGCTCCGCAACGCTGACCGCCTTTGGCGCAGCGGCGGAGAGCAGGAGCCTGCCGAGGACACAGACTCGGACTTTGAGATGTTGACCTAGACCGACGTGTGATTCAGATAGTTGTCTTCAGATGTGTGTGTGATTCAGATGTGTGTGCGTGTGATTTTCGGCACGGGTATAGATTAGAAGGAACGTATCGTCACACAGCGTGGTGCACAGTAGCGGGCTAGCTTCTACAGAGGCAACCGGTCCGAGGGCGAGCGTTTCGCTCGTCCTGATGCGCATGAGCGACGTGGAAGCTCTCGACCGGCGCAGATGCCACGGGCGACACCAATCCCAGCCTCAAAAGGCGAGGAGGGCTGGTGGAGTGCCCAGACGGCAGTGGCTTCCGAACAACTTTTTGCGGGTGACGCAAAGGATCCGAGGAGAGAGCACCTCGGCTGCCGGCGAGGCATCCGCCCCGCGCCCACACATCTGATGGAAAGTGCGAAGAAGCGGTGGCGGCAGGCTAGCCACCGGTGGGGCACACGGAGCGATATGGCGTTCGGCTGCGATTTGAGTGCAACCGGGTGACGCATCTCCTCCACAGAGACGCGGGGACGGCGTGCCTGCGAGGCGCCCGATATGCGCCAACGGACCCAATGGAAAGTGCGAAGCGAGCACTCGACGGCTCGCAGCCTGTGGACGGAGCACGAGAGCTCGAACCTCGCACTCTCGTGCAAAATCGGCACCTCGGAGCGCCTTTTTCACACCGCATTCGAGCCCATGAAAACAACAATGTACCCCAAGCAGCACGATCACGCCTCGCACCGGTGCGGTGGTGCCGGGCGGCTCTAGGGGGTCAGGCTGGCTGCATGGCACCACCCGTAGCCCGTTCTGCTGCCCTGGCATCACCCGGAGGGGGGATTGAACATGGTAGTCGGTGCTCGGCGGGAAGGGGAGTGCTGACGCGCGGGGAACGGTTTTCCCTTGAGCTTGTGCCTGTTCACGCTTCACAGACCAACCACGCGACAGCGGATACCAGGGCACAGCGGGCAGCAGGCATACACCCCCGTCACGATCACGAAGCGAGATTAGCGCCAGACTGAGACACAGTCGCGGTACCCGTCTCTCTTCCTCCGCGCGGGGCTTCGCCGTCGGCTCTGCATGGAGGAGCTGTCTGCCTTGCTGACTCCTCGCGACGTCCGCCGCGCTAGCCACTAACCCACCTCGACCGATTGTGGGCCGAGACTGGGCGCCGTCGCGGCTTCGGCCTTCTCGGCTGCTGGCTCGGCTGCGGCCGCAAAGCTCGCCGCGGGCTCCTCCGCTGGTGCCGCCGCGTCGGCCTTCGCCGCTGCCAAATCCCGACCCTCCCAGGAAGCGCCGGCCGCCGAGACGGAAGCCTCTCGTGGCGACCCGACCGGGGAGGGCGAGAAGGGCGGACTATCGATGGGCTCTGGCAGAGGGTCGAGCGATCCCAGATCCAGCGAGAGGAGGCCCGCCCCAGCTTCTCCAGCGTC